CTAAAAATTTAACTAAATATTTAAACACATTTTTGGTAGTTAAATATTATAGTGAGTAAATACCCAAAATATTTACGGACCCGTCGGGTATTTACCCACGTCACATCACTACCCCCACCTATTACGCCCATGACCAGAACCCATTTTTTAAAAAAAGTATAGTTTAAGTAATTTATTAGCAACATTTTGGGGACGAGGTGGCCGAGCTGTCCAACGCGTCGGCTGCGGCTCAGCCGATCCGGGTTCGATCCTTGGTCACCGGGCGGCATTTTTCTTCGGGCAAGTCACGGTGTCCGGAGAATAAGTGCCGCCATCCCCCACTCCGGGGTATGACAGAAACCTACGGGTGCCCCAATAGAAATTCTGCCAAACACTCATATGTTCCTAATGCATACGAGACACGTAAAAAAAAGTAACATTTTAACCCTTCTCTAATACTTTAGTTGTATATTTATTAATCTTATTCTTAATCATTTCTTAAAATGTTGATTTAATTTTCAGCTTTGGTACTTAGTTCTGATATACAACTTTAAAGGTCTCTAGTAAATTAACTATGAAAAACAAAGGTCTGAAACTCTTCACTGCACTTCTTCTGGGCAATATTCAAAACCCCAAGCCTCAATTTCGTCCTCTAATTTCAAAGATCTATGTTGCTAAAGAAAAATCTAGCTAAAATTGTCTATTTTTTTAACGGTTAAAATTTAATTCATATTTATCTGTTTTTTTAAATTCATATTTTGTATATACTTGATAAGTCTTTTTTAATGAACCAAGTTTCTAAATCTTATAGTTTAAAAGAAAAGTATGTATGTATGTTGTATGTATGTATGTATGTATGTATGTATGTATAATGTATTATATTGTATATGGTTAAATCCCAACTGTGTGTAAATTCAAAGATTGACCAGTCAAACCAAAGACGTACACTCTAAAGTCTGGGATTGTTTTTGTTTAAGAACATTTAACGATCAATGTTACATACCTATACCTAACTCTTAGATGAACGAAATTTATTGTCCAAAGCTCAAAACAAAACCAATACGTAAATACTAGGTAGGTATATAAAGTATTATAGAGCCATACAATAATCTGTAACAATTGATATCTTATTTACAGCATTAAGGAATTCATACTATAAATCCAAGTAGTTTTTACAGAATTTATCTCTTTAGGGTCAACCATTGGTTGGTTCGTGTGACTGTGTTAGGTTAGTTGAACAATGTGACAAAAATGTTATAATTTCACAAATCAAATTACATATAATAAAAATACATATATGATATACTTAAGGTAATGGGACATAGGTACTTAATACTGAAACTTTGCCGTCCAAGACAAATATGGATAGACAAGGTCCATAAAGACCTGGAGTTGCTGGGAATTCTGAACGGTAAAGAGCTAGCGACAGACAGAGACAGATGGAGAGAAGTGGTGGTTGCAGAGAAGGACCTAAATGGTTTATACTAAGCCAAGAAAAAGGTACCTATAGTTTACTATGTAAGTATACAACAAGCTATAGTAGTGTATTAACTAGAAAGAATAAACATCAATACTATTACTATATATACTATTACAAAAAAAATTATAAAATTAATAATTATGATCACATAAATTGTATCGATATAATTGTTACATAATATAGAATTAAAAATGATACAAAAAATCAAAACTTTATTTGAACTAATAATAGTTTGATCATTGTATACTAAATGAATTATTGGCACATTAAAATGATTTTATATTTTGAATTTGAATTTCATTAACTCAGAATTCAGATCATCAATGTTATGTTATGAGTAAAGGGCGGATGTTCATGCATTTGCATATTTTTTTCCTTTAATAATAAAAGTTGCAGAGTAGGATAGAAATTTGTTTTGAGACATATAAAAAACGAAATCAAAATTCTTATGTTGCATATATTTGCATATTTCGATCTTTTTTTCCTTCAAAGCATATTTATATTTTGTTAGTGCATAATAGTGCATATTTGGTATCTTAAAGTTTTACTTGACATTTTACATTGAATTATTATTCTATTTCAATTATTACTTTATAAATGTTATCTTTATCGATAAATGTTATCGATTGGAAGTACCTAATGGGCAATGACTATAATAGCTAGTAGGTACTCTGAATTATCGTGATTCGTGACAGTTTATTGTTGTCCGTAGACCGACTCACGAAGTTCGCGAGTTCTTTCGTATACCTAGTGCAAGTAGTTACGTATTTCGTAGTTCGTATTATATAAATATTTGTAGATTTTTTTTAAAATGCCAAAAGAAAAAAGTTCATTAGTGGCGCGATGCGATCATTTGTTTCTGAATTCGGTGAACAAGTTTTTTCAACCGATGGAAAGATTTTGTTTTGTAAACCATGTGGGATAAAAATCAATTGCGAAAAACGATTTAGTGTAGTGCAACATCTTAGTACATATAAACACAACAGTTCTGTAAAGCGACATTCTGATAAAAACGAACTATCACAAAAGTTAATCACGCAGTCTGCACCTACTTCAAAAAAATCGACATTTAATTTTGATTTATGTAAAGCATTACTGTCGGCTAATATCCCATTAAAAAAAATTAATAATGCCGAATTTAAATCATTTTTGGAGAAATATACTAATGAAGTCATTCCTGACGAATCAACTTTGAGGAAAAATTATTTAAACGATTGCTTTGAAGAAACTCTAACAAAAATAAAATCAACGTTTCAAGACAAAAAAATATGGATAGCCATAGACGAAACAACAGACATTGAAAGTCGCTACGTTGCAAATGTGATTATTGGATCATTAGATGTGGACAAGCCTGGTCAAATAGCTTTATTGAATTGTGAAGTATTAGATAAGGCCAATTATTTTACTATTTCTAAATTATTTGATAAAACTCTTCATCTTCTGTGGCCCGACGGCATAAAACATGAAAATGTATTACTTTTTGTTACCGACGCTGCGCCATATATGGTTAAAGCGGGTGGTGCAATAAAAGCGTTTTATGATAAGATGATACACGTTACTTGCTTAGCACATGGTCTTCACCGTGTAGCTGAAGAAGTAAGACGTCTTTTCCCAAGTGTTGATAAACTAATATCTAGTATAAAAAAAGTATTTTTAAAATGTCCTAGTCGGATCGAAATATTTAAAAAAGTATTGCCAAATATACCTTTACCTCCGCAACCAATTATTACCCGTTGGGGGACTTGGATAAATGCTGCAATATATTATTGTGAAAACATACAAAACATTCGCAAAATCATCGAACAGTTTGATACAGATGATGCAGTCTGTATACTTCAGGCAAAAGAAGTTTTATCAGAAAAGTCACTAGATTCAAGTTTAATTTATATAAAATCTAATTTTAAACTGTTGGCCGCTGCAATTGAAAATCTTGAAAAAACAGGTATGACTTTATTGGATGCAATTAATATAGTAAAAAATGTAGAACAGAGTCTTAAAAGTAATCAAAACGATAAAGGAATTGCTGTGTTTAAAAAATTTCAAAAAGTTATACAAAACAATAAGGGTTTCGATATACTGTGTACGATTTCAAACATTTTAAATGGTGAAGATAACACTATCAAGACAGAAGAAAACTTAACACCTGATGATTTAACTTATTTTAAATACGCACCTATCACTTCGGTAGACGTCGAGCGAAGTTTTTCTAAATATAAACATTTTTTGACAGACAGACGACGTTCTATGCACTTTGAAAATATTTCGAAAACCATGATTATTCAGTGCAATGCACATTTAAGTAAGTAAAACAAAATACATTTTACATTAATAAAAAAATGAATAATAATTTAAATTTTCAGATTAAATCAACCGTACAAGAAAAACACAAAACAGCTACCTACATAAATTTGTATTTAAATTATTCATCCATTTTATTTTGATTTTAATTTTCTAACTGTTTTAACAAATATTATTTAGCAGATTAGATGTTTTTGAGCATATTTTTACATTTTTTGGAATATATTAATATTTTTGCGCATATTTTGTATACTTTTTTAGGCATATAATGACGTTTTATCAAGCATATTTTAAAGCATATTTTAACATTTTTTACAGCATATATTATAGTTTTTTGATGCATGAACATCCGCCCTTTAGTTATGAGTTATGCTTATGACATACTTATTTTATTTATAATTGTAATATAATATAGGTATAATTATATATTTCTACATAGATAAATAATGTAGTTTGATAATTTATTGTAATGAAAATATATTTTTATTGGATGTGTGTATTTGGTATTTATCGTTTCAGTACCGTGACTGACGTTTGATGAATATTTTGAGAATAAAAAAAAACAAATTCCAAATCAAGATACAAAAACCCTGATAACTGATCAATTATATTTTGATAGCCAATAATGTTGCTTTGATCACGAAATAAATGTCCCAGTCTTCATACAAAATTGTATTTGAAGCTCTTAAGTTGTACCGCTAATTAATAAGCCAATTAAACCGGTATTTATATAGTCTTTGATAATAGCTCAAGTATTTGAGATTAGAAGATAACAATGAATTGAAAACGTAATAGTCCTGAAGCTGAATATTATTTTTAATTGTTTTTGTTAAATTAACAAACAAACAAATCACCTCTTGAATAAGCGTAGTTGAATAATATGTATTGATGAAAAGTAAAAATACATATGAATTACATACCACGTGATTCAGCTTATGAAATAAAAAACGAGTTACCTATAGTCTATAGATAAACGATAATCTTATATAGTTATATAGAGTGTACATGTACAGTTCCAGAGGTAATTAAAATTATTTGATTTCCTTCGGCAGAGATGTTGATTTACAATAATAAACAATTGGCAAATATTTTACCAACGTAGTTAATACAATACCTATAAGTAGTACTAATAATAACTCAATATAAATAAAACTATATCTATGTATCGATGCTTAAATACAATCACAAAAAAACCTATAGTAAAAAATATGTTTGGTTTCCATGAGTACATAATGAACGTAGATTACGGAAAGTCGATTTTCTTAATTTTATTCGGTGGTTCGAAATATAACAATATTTCGTCTAGACTTTTCCCCTTAGTTTCGGGCATAATAAATATGGCAAATAACACGTTTAATATACAGAAGAAAGCGAATATCGACCAAATGACTTCCACTCCTAAATTTAAGATCAGCGATGGATATATTTTGCAAATCGTAAACCAGATAACATATCCACATGTCTGTACAACTCCATTCATAACACCTGAAAGAAATACGAATATAAATAAAATATAATATATATAAAAAAAGGTGGGTCACTGTATAATGGATGGTATTAAATTTGAATTCAATGATATAATATTGTATAAGAAAAACGATTCTGAGCGGAGACGTTATGTCACTCTAAGTATAAGACATACTATATACTTTATCTATGGTATTAAAAAAAAAAATTTACCTATAATAGGTACCTATACTAAATTCCAAATTAATCATATAACAATATCCATTGGGTACTTATAACGCGTTATACATCAACAACAAACCCTGATACTATCATAGATATATAATAGTGTACTTTAGAAGTTTCAAGTACCCACGAATAATATTATACAATCACAACAAAATAACTAAAATAGTTTTTCTAGGTTTTTTATTATGTAATGTCGTCTAAATTTAAACTGTGCTAATGTATTTTCTAGATTTTTTAATAACAGAATTAACTACTTACGTGGAATCTCGTTTTAAATTTTCAATCTTTAGTTATAAAATTTGAACATTTTATAAATTTTTAACTACAAAATAATCGTTCAATTTTAAATTTGATACATTTTGTCAAAATTCAATCTTTAAATGCTTATGTTATCGTGTATAAAAAATTCAAATATAAACAACCGGTGAAAATTTCATGCATCCATTCTGTCATTTGTTTTAAAGTTACACCAAAAACCAAATTCGATTTTGCGTAAAAATTCCCGTTTTTCCTTAATTTTTCTTTTGTGTTTCTTGGCGCTTTTAAAATTACTGGGAATTTTATATTTTGACCTCCCCATTGCACCAATGATATTCCCTTCCAATCAAACAAGATACTGAAGTTGAAAATCGAAGCATTATTTCGACTAGTTATCGTATACACATCAAAAATACACAAAAATAAAAAAATAATAACATACATCATTGTGAAATCAATACATTCATCGGTTCACTCAGAATCTAAGACCAAATAACTTGGACTGCTATAAATTAGTCAAATTAATCTTGGACATACTAAATTATTAGTTAGATATGTATAATATGTACAATGTACATACAATAGAATAACACATGCGATTATTTGTTACAACAGGGACATGTGTTACGTTTGTATAAGTTATATTATTATTGTTAGGTAGGTATTAAACAATTTGTATGTAATTTATTTAAACTCAAAGCAGATAAATTGTATGTTATTATTTGGTATACCTATACATAAATCTATTATCTATGAATAAGTTAAACGGATAAGGTGTATGACAGGAGAAGGGGTTTGCGAACAATGAACGGGCAATGTGTAGAGACGTCCTGTGGCAATCAGGAAAAATCCCCTTGAGGTGGTTCTAAGAAAATTGAACCTAATACAGTTAAGTGACCAATTGTTTGCTGAATGCTATTTTCCAGGGTGGGTAATGCCCTCATATATGATATAGTCATATACCTATGTTACATTATTATTACATGACTTATATATTGTTACATTGTTATGAAGGTACAATACAAGATGTGGTTAAGAAGGCAGAATAATGGGTAGCCATATTTCCTTACACTTTTACGATACTAACACGAAAAAAGATAGGTAGGGGTAGGATGGATAAAGTGGCCACCCTATATGGTTCGATGATGTCTTTTTTTACACTTTTTTAAATTAAAAATAGTATAAATAAATACTCCAATATAGCTACTCTAGTACCCTATTAAATTTAATAGGCTACTGTATTTATTATGAAATTTGTTTTATTTTAATATGTAAATGTCTTGTAAAAAAACACTACAAAATGGCTATTTTACCTATACTGATCGATTAAAATGGTCAGTCACTGTAAAGATATTATTTCGCTCATATTTTGACCCATATTATATTATGTTTCTATGTTATAATAATATCCATTTGGATTACCCACTGAAAATGTTTCGAATAACATCAATACTTATAGTGGATAGAAAATCCTTTGTCCGAAACGACGCCACAAAAAAAAACTTTGATCTAGCATATAATATACATTATACACATATACTATTTATCCATAGTAAAAAAGTATTCGTCACTACCCTAAAATCAGCATTATATGATAATAGTTATCAGCATCAGCTGCAACAAAAACGCTCAGCTCCCTCATGACTTCAGCGAATTTATGGGGAATTGGGGAAGATAACTCAAATGGCAACTTTACCCTCCTCACAATGGCGTCTTTATCATCTATTCGGATAATTTTTCAATACTTACGTTATATCTTATCTATATATATTGTAGAAATCGAATAACAATTACACGTGATTTAATCGAGATTATTATTACCTTTTACTTCCATCGGAAAAACCTCGCCGCATAGTATCCAAGGCATGGGTAGAATTCCCAGCAGGGCGAAAAACATGAACATTACAAACGCAACAATGAGCGTCATCTCAAACGGTGGGTCCTGGACGCCCGCGAACGCTTTCATGTAGGCAACTACTATGAGCAGCGAGATGGCCATACTTCCGCCGGAAATCATGACAAGTGTTCGGCGTGCGACTCGGTGCATCGCCGCGAAACCCAGGACTCCTATCACCCTGGCCAAGGACAGGAACAGCGAAACAGTGTTGCTGTCCCATGGCATCTTGCAGTCCCTGACCACGTCCATCGAGTAGAACAGTAGCACGTATACGCCGCTGCACTGCTGGCAGACGAAGAACGTCAGCGTGATCACCGTCGGCAACCACACGTTGCGTCGCAAGAAAAGAGACCAGTACGGCGACAATGACGTGGGTGCTGCGGGCGTGGTGTGGACGTTGTCGTCGACCTCCATGGCCACGGCCGGCTGTTCGACCACATCAGCCGATGCATCTGACACATGCGTCGTGTTGCCCAAATTCAGCCACCTGTCCACCTCATCCGCCTCGGCAACCCGGCCCCTGGACCTAAGCCAAATCGGTGGTTCCGGAACCATGAACAGCATTAGGAAATTGACCAAACTGATCGCCAACATGATACCGGATATGGTTTGCCACCGAAAATACATGGCCATTATGCATTCCGCCATCATGCCCAGGCCTACGGTAAAGGGGACCAGCGTTATGTACAGCGGTCGCAGGTTGGTCGGGGAAAGTTCGGAAATGTATAGAAAAGTGCACGTACTCACGCCTGTTGAGCGAAATCGTTTAAGTTAGTTGGTAGGTAGTAGAGTTAGTTATTTATGTCGACTAAATACGACTATATAACTTCAGGGACACCGGTAATTATATGACTTCAAGAGTCAAAAAATAAATATAAATATTTCACTTGCCACAGTTTGAATAGGTGCCTACCTACTTTATTTTATTTTGAACATAAATGTATTGTCATATCAAATTTAGATTATTTAAGTTCATGGTTCTTACTTTCTTAGGTAATAGGTATATTCATTTAACATGGTATATATAAACAACGTTTTAATCCGCTGTTTTCAGTACATATATCCTTCTATTTATATAATAATTCCCTATCAATTTGGTTCGATTTATCTTAGGTTAGAAAGTTATTTATCTTCTGTAATGTATATTGTGGAATTACAAGTGATTGATAATTTGTGTTTCGTTTGTGGTTATAATAATTTTGCACTATTATTTTGTTAAGCATTATATGCGTTATGTATACTTAGTACATAATATATTATTCCAGACTGAGATAAGGCAATGTAAATCATTTCATGCAAATCTAGGATATTAAGTAGCTTTTTATTAATACATAAAACATTTCCTTAGTCCTTACACACTGAAAAAATAATTTTGAAATGGTTTAAACTTAAAGTTGACCATATTTCAGTAATTTTAACTTATTAATATATTACCTACAGTGATCGAAACCGTTTCAAATTTTAACGGTTATGGTTTCGGTTTTTGAGAACACTTTTCTATATTTTATGGTTTTGGTTAGACTTGGTCAAACCTTGTAGTTTTGGTACTATAGAAAGCAAGCTGCTCAAAACTCAAATTGTGCTGGGAAGACAAAGTCGGGATACATTGGAACCATTATTACGAGAAGACATTAGACAAAGCCAAAACGTTTTGTTAATCTATCTAAGCTAAAGAAAAAAATTGCAAAGAATTTGGCAATATAGCTGAAGTAAATCACATTGTCAGTGCCTCTCAAACAAGACAGAGGTCAAAATCAACCATCAAAAACTGTACCAGGTGTGGAATAACTTATCCAATTAATGGATATCCAGCATATGGTATGTCCTGTAATAAATGTAAATTGCTAAATCATTTTTCTAGTATGTGTAAAACAAAAGTGGATTCTGCCCACAAAAACTTATAAGTTAAAAATAAAAAAAAGTTTAATAAAAAATTAAGTAAAAAGTTTTCTTACAAACGAAATATAATTAATACAGTAGGCAATTAATCAGATTCTGACAATGATGAAAAGTATACTATTGCAATTAATCAAATTAAAAATCAGGAAACTAATGAGAAAAATGGTTTTAAACTATTATTGTTAATGGTATTGAAATAAATTTCGAATTAGATTTGGGGGCTGAGACAAATCACAAATATATTACTATTAGAATTGTATAATTAACTTAAAAATAAAAAATAAATTATAAAAACTAAAGTCAAAATAGAATCATACAGCGGTTATAAAATAAATCCAGTTAGAACTGTCGTAAAATTAAAAAATTTAAATTTATCATATGAGATCATCCAAATTGTGTTCCTATATAATAGGTTTAAAAACTTTGTACAATTTCAAATTTGATTAAAAGAAATGTAAAGTAAATGTGAACAATTCAATTGAACTTGAAAATTTTCTGGAAGAGAATAAAGAAGTCTTTGACGGTATAGGTACATTCCCAGATATAATGACAATTAAATTAACTAAAGGTGCCATACCCATTGCAAACTTTCCTAGAAGAGTACCATTAGCTGTTTAAAGCAGATTAGGTGAAACTTTTAAATTATTAATTAATAAAGGAAAATACAGCCTGTACATGAACCGTTAGAATGGGTTAATAATATAGTCATAATCGAGATATCAAATAAAACCCTAAACATTTGTATCCACCCAAATGAATTAAATAAACATATTTAAATTTATCCTGTACCTACACTGGAAGAAATAACCCCTAAATAAAGTATTTTTAATATAAAAGATGCTTTCTATCGAATTAAATTAGATGAATAGTTAAGCAATTATTGTACATTTAGTAGTCGTCATGGCTATGTTATATTTTGAAGAGCACTATTTCAGTTAGCATCAATCCCGGAGATTTTCAGAAATTAGATAATAAATACTTTGGAGATATAAATAACGTTATAGCTTACTTTGATGACATTCTTTGTGCGACTTATTTTAAAGAAGAAATAGATGACATTATGAAAAAAATTATAAACAGAGTAAAAAAATTCAATATTAAATTTAATCCCGATAAAATTCAATACTATAAAAATGAAGTCAAATACCTTGGAATGTTATTCTCAAAAAATGGTACCCATGAGTCCTGTTAATGATCACATAGCAGTGATTAAATAGTTATACCAAATAATAAGAAGGAATTACAAAGGATAATATTACCTAGGTATAATAAATTATGTCAGACAATTTATAACAAATTTAAAGTTATTAAAATAGAAAGTATTATGGTAATGAAAGAATATACATAATAAATTATTAAACAAGATTAAAACCTTAGTTTCAAAATCATCGATGTTAAATAGTTTTGGTATTAATAAACAAATAGTATTACAATGTAATAGCTCTAAATATGCATTAGGATGTTGTCTACTATAAGATGATTGGAATCAGTAGCTTATGCATCCAGGTCATTAACAGAAAATGAAACAATTATGCTCAAATTGAGAAGGAACTCCTATCAATAACTTTTTAATTTTCTAAATTCCACAACTATGTTTATGGTCACAAAATAATTGTAAATAATGATAATTTACTCATTTACCTCTAGTTTCATCAGTAAAAAACCTATCGATAAAATCAAAAATAATAGACTGAAAAGATTAAGATTTAAATTATTACCGTATTCATTTAAATTAGAATATGTACCAGGTTCAAAACTATTTTTAGCTGATCTTTTATCTCTATATAGTTGAAAGATACAATAATGATGATAATGATTTTACAGAGGTTGTTCATACCATAAATAAAAATTATCGGGGGAAATAAAACATCTTTTGATATAAGAAACGACATTACGATAGATAATAAATTAGTATATTTTTATGATAAAATTATAATACCTAAGCGTTTAAGAAAAACAGTTTTAGAGTTGTTACATGAGACACATTTAAGTTTGGACTAACAAAATAATATGCCTAAAATACTTTTTATTGGCCAGGGATTAACTCAGATATTATTAATTTAACAGAAGATTGTATGATCTGTCATAAATTCAAAAGATCTCAAATTAAACAAAATCTTTAAAATCACCAAATAGCAAAGGGCCTTTCATAAAAATTAGAATGGATATATAGGAGTACAAGGGTACATCATATTTGATAGTAGTAGACTATTATTCATGTTGGCTAGAAATATTAAAATCAATCATAAATATTTAGCAACAATAATTTCTAAATTAAAATCATTGTCTTGTAGATTTGGTATACCTTTAAATATTATAGCTGATAATATGCCTTTTAGTATTACTGCATTTTTTTAATTTGCAAAGGAATGGGACTGTGAGATTAATACTTCAAGTCCTCATCACTAAAAATTAACGGTCTTGCAGAAAAGGGGGTGAGCCATAACCAAAAAGATAAAACAAAAAAATAAGTAAGAGGGCCAAGGCATAGAACTTTAGTTATTATACTATAGAAATGAAAAAGTGGCTAATTTAAATTATAAATTATACACCTTCACAATTACAACAGCACCGTAATTTGAGCACCAAGTTACCAATAACTAATTAAAATGAAACCTTTATTAAATGATAACGCATATAAAACAATAGGTACTTCAAAATCAATAAAACCAAAAACAAAATTATGACAAAAATGTGCTTTATAAAGAAATTGTGTTTAACTTTATTATTTGGTGTTTATACAAAATTATAAAAATAATACTTGGGAAAATGGTGTTTTGGTAGATAAGTCGAAAAATCCTAGATCTTATTTAGTTAAGTTTGAAAACCCTGGTAGAGTATTCTGTATTTGGGGGGAATTGTTATTTATACAAGGAAAAAAATTCATTACTGTTTGGGGATAATAACACAGGTATAAAAAAAGGATATTCCATTTATTAAAAAGCCTATAGTTACATAACGTTGCCTTTAATAATGAATTAATATCAATTAATTAAACAACAATAATGGATTAACGAAACAGAGGTAACTGTACACCACGTCATCACCCAGATATTTATAGCGTATAATTTTTCTAGGACGTTGGGTTGGAAAAATACTATCGTAGGTATACGATGTTTCCATAAAGTAGATGTCTGGGAGGTTTTAACTAAAAATTATAACTAAATATTCAAAGAAACCAAGAATATTACTTGTAAGTTTTTATTATTTTTTTTTTTTGGATAGGTCACGTATAACAAAAAAAATCATATTTTACATTATAACATACCTACTATAATAATATATTACATAATACATATAAATTATAAATTTCTGTACTAATGAAACAAAAGATTAACTACAGAATTATTCACCAATCATGCTCACTCCTATTTTTCCTTTAATAATGAAGTTATCAAAATTCTGATTTTTGGAATTTTTAAATATAGTTACCCATAGCCCGATATACTAATATATGTGACGATACTAACATCTGTTTTTCATATAAGGACCCTACCTTTTAATTTTAAATTATTTAGTAGATTATTTTTTTGAAAATGTTGATGAACATAATTCAAAATTTAAATAAGTAGTTTCTTAGTGTTAAAACGTTTACGTAAAGAATAATAAAAAAGCAGTGATACAAAAATATAAAGTACATGAAAGATTGAATCTAGTATTTATTATAATTTATACTTGGACCGTTTTTTCAAATTCTCTATCACATAAACGTTCAAAGCAACATATCTCCCAAACCCATAATTAAGAAACCTAGTATCCTTAGTACACAAAGTTAAATAACTCGAACATTTAAAATAGTAATATTTTATAATATTTTTTAAATAGTATTTAAAATCAGCTTTTGAATAACTGCATTTTAAGAAGAAAAGTGTGAATCACCCTATTGTTAGAACATTGATTGGAATAATAATGGAGCGTTTTTCCAAATACTATTAAACTTTTAGGATTTAATTAATTTTTATGACACCGAAATATAAAAAATTATGATTCAATAAAAACATTTACGAAATTGATCCCTGTCGTTTTCAATTTGGAAACTTATCATAAATCCCACGTAGCTTGAAACAACGATATCTAGTAGATACCTTTTATCTACTATATTATTTACCATGAGGAAAAACAGAAATCCTACATTATTACTACAAATTAACAGCCAAAGAATCTAATGGAACAGCAACAATGACTTTTGACTCACCAAAATACCTAAGGAAATACGTGGCTCACAGAATGTGCCATTTTGAATAGTAAATATGTCTTCAATCCACAGATTAAGAATAACATGATACAAGGTAATCCATAATACTATCATGAATATATAACTATTGTAATATTATAATTGTAGCATTCTAAAAGTATTAAGTTTCTTGATACGATTAACTAAATAATAATAAGAACAATTTATTTTTACGGTGTTAATGCATTTTCAGGTAAACTGTCAGTGATATTAAACATATAATTCAATATTACTGAACGCGCATGTTTTATAATAATGGAAATATTGTAATCGTACAGATTTGAAATAACTTATTTTATTACTATTAACCATAAATTTAGAAATAACATATTGTACAACTCACCAAACGGGATTCCAAGTATAATTTTTCCAATTAATAGTGTGGTATAAGAGTTAGAAAATGTAATTATTAGCCAACCTAATGCCATTGGTGCGCATATAATTTGAATAGTTTTTCTTCTACCAAATTTGTCCGTTAAAATTCCAATTATGAGTAGACCGATCGGACATATAAGTATCGTAATACTTGCTGAAATAAATGGTAAACATTTCTTATTACAAACTATTTATTGTACTTTATTAGTTAGTATTTCAAATTTGAAATCAAAATTGTATCATCGTTGAGCTAAATATTAGATTCTAAATGGAGCAACGAATGTTGTATTGGTTTAAAAATGTTGTTTTTATTTTTATTTTGCATACAAATATTACTTTTGTTTATCTCCGGAACCTTTTTATAGTGGATAGAATGCAAAACCAGAATAAAAAAAAAAAGAAGAGGGTAAGTGGGTGTTACTCGTTGTAGAGTAGGTCACTGTAATGGATGGTGTTAAATATGAATTCGATGATGTAATATAATTGTATACAAAAAAGATTCTGAGCGGAGATTGTTTGTTAGCCTAGGATATTATATATTATATTTATACTGTTATTATTAATATGGTACCTAGCCGGTAAGTTGAATTGATATTATTTGCATATTATCATATTTCAATATGTGTATATACAAATATACTTGAGAAGTTTCAATTTCCTACGAATAATATTTTTAAATTACAACAAAATAATTAAAATCGTTATTCTTGATTATTTAATATTATGTAATTTCCTCCCAAATTTGAAAGTAAAATAACTATTAAAAAAAGTGTGTTTATATATTTTTTAGAATATTTGGTTAATGAATTAACTACCTTGATTTATATTTTGAATCTTTAGGTATAAAAGTTGAACATTTTATAAATTGTTAACTACTAAAATAGTTTATATTTTTATAATTTTCATTTTAAATTTAAATTGTATAATCATTTTCCTAAATATTAGTTTCTAAGCGGATCGATGAATGTTGTATATGTTTTAATATATTGTTTGTGTTTTTTTTTTCATTTTGCATATGAACGTTTTTTGTTTTTTTGTCTCAATAAACCATTTTATCCTTTACATGATGCGAAACCAGATAAAAGAAAAAAAAATGAGTAATATTAGAGACATGTAAAAATGTTCAATATATTTTTCCACTTTTTAAGCTTTACAGACTTTTGAAATGTTTGAATTGTATAAGTTTTTTTTACTTATGAATATATAATAAAATTTTTGACTGTTATAAAAAAACTTGAATATTTAAAACTATGTTTCTAATGAGTTTTCCAACAGAAATTAATAAATATTAAAATATATATAAATATGCAAAATGTATAATAGAATTTTAAATTTTGAAAACAAGATATGGATAATGTGATCTAATATCATTGGGACTTGACGTATTCGCCATTAGGTATATGATTGTTTTTTCATTAATTAAATTGTTTCCAAATATTTAAATTAATTTTATACCACGAACTCATTAATATCGTTCTATGTTGGTACGTTGGTATTGATTATTATAAGTTGATAGAAGTTAGTAGATATCAAATAAAATAGATAAAGTATTATTTTAACTTACATTTAAATTACTTTGTCGATAAGTTTTTTAGAACAAAATACTAATATTTGAACTATTTAAAATTCGATAATTTTGAATGTCTATAAAAAACTGAAAAAGAGAAAAAATATTTTAAAAATGATGTCAGGTCTTGAAATCGATCATAATATCAATATTTTGTATAGATTATGTTATTCATTTTCGTATACAATGATATCATTGAATTCATATTTAATACAATCCATTCCATAGTGACCCACTTGTAACCTACCGTACTGCCGCAGAGCGACATCCACTTACCCGCTTTTTTAATTATAAAAATAAGTAATAACAACATTGATTATGAAAAAAACTGGCACCCTATAAATATTTCCTTTTTTCTATAATTCTCACTAAGCACCAATTACTAGATACTACTTAAGACGAATATATTTGTACAGCCTCAAAAAGTTATGATTATAGTATCGCTCTGTTTAGAATCTAAATATTTAATTAATAAATTACATTGAACTTATAATAGGAATAGAGTCACAGATTCATACAATAGTTAATTATTTAGAATACGGATATCGGATGATAATTTAATTTTATATTTTAATACATTTATGTTGGTCTAGAGTTATTTTGGCACTTAATGATATCAGTATACGATTTAATGTACAGTCGAGTGGCAATAAGATAATTCAAAGTCTAAGAGAGATAATAAATATGTATTATTTGAGAAACTTAATTCGAATTTAAACAAACTTGACCTCATAGAAAATAAAATAAACAAGTTGTCAAGTTTTTTGAGTTATAGAGGTTAGAGTTACCGTAACTCGACTGTATTAGATTTGTCAGTTAGTTATTTGGTGGTATTAGCTAACCTTATACCATGTAGGTAATTTAAAATGTAACGTAATATTTTATGTGGTACACGGTTCCAGAATTATTGTTGACAGTAAAACAAATTATAAACGAATTTGAAAGAATGAAAAGTATTTGAATACATTTTTTAATTTACTTCTACTCAAATACCTATCAATGAAGTCTTTATATGATTTTAAAATATAATATTTATTATATATTATGTATAAATGTCCAATAATCAACATACTTATCCAAGATTCTTCTTCGATACTCAAATGAATTGTTGAAGAAGGTTCTCGAAGTTGCGCCAAAAGTGTAGATGAAAATGTATACAAACATCCAACCAGAAATTGAATGAAGCACATCATGGCGAAACAGAATATCTAAATGTATCACAAAATATAAATTAAGGCGAGAATAATATACGATTTTAATATTATCATAGAAACATAAATCTAAAAAGTTATATTATAATTATAAATATATTAGGATGTTGTTGTTTATACCCACAAGTTTTAGATGACATTGTAATTTTCCATTCTTCATTTTTCTAAAAAAAAAAATTGTAAATTATAATTTTATTAATTCGTGTATTTTAAAACTAATATAGGTTTTTAAAAATTGATTTTAACACGCTGGTTCGTATTGTGTAGGAATCGACTTCACACTCGGAAATCGGAATGTAGTGAAATCATAAGCATCAATTCGTACTCATTAAAATTGTGTACATGTTACAAATTAAATTGGTTATCAGTGAGGCGCCACTTGATAGATCTACTAACATATCGAAAACAAAGTAATTTAGTAATTATAATCTTGGATACAGGGTGGTGAACACAAATATCGATGAAATATAATATCAGTTTTCTCTGTTTCTCATAAATTAATATACAAGCATTACCACAGAAATAAAATAATAGGTAAATATCAGGTAATGTAACATTTTGATCCACAAGGAATACACGGATCAAATTGTCCCTAGCTGATCAAATTTTCAAGCGGAATATTTTGCCCCTGGGGGACTTTTTGATCGGTTTTTTCCTTATGAACAATTTAAAAAAATACAATTTTGTGAGATGATCAAATTGTCCTCAACATTTACTATCGATAAAAAAATAAAAATAAAAATTAGATTTTAAAAATACTAAAAATTGAAATTTGAAAGGTTGAGACATTTTCTCACACAATAGCTTATAATACCTAAATATAATACCTTTTTTGTATACCCATTGCCCCTTAATTTTGTTTTAGGTACCTATATCAATTTTCTATAGGACGATGATTGATTATAAATACTAAAAATTGATCATTGGTCGGGTTTTCAACGGCGTACAATTAAACGTTAAGTAGATGGCGATAAGAACAATAACAATACTAATAAATTGGTATTTTATTCTAACCGCCGCGCCTTAACTATGATCGAATTTTTAACGTCAATTCTATTCATGGCCACTACTCCGATGTTTTTACTATTTATTATTTTTATTTTTAATGATTTGGGTGAATGTGGTGCTGGTGAAAACGGGCTACTAAAATAGAATATTAATAAAAATTAAAAAAATTATTTTAATTATTTACTATATTTAAATTTTTTTTGGATATATTCAAATAGCCAATTTGTGAATCTGATTACACGAACAATTTTTACAGTAAAACTTTTATGTAAATCAATAAGTTTATTTTTAGAATTTTTTAAAATATCAATATTTTTTTGATTGAATGTATTTGGAAAGTAATACATTTTTTTCAAATTTTTTTTTTTTTGGGAATTTGCTGACATGAGTATATTTTTTAAATTATTTACTAATCATATAATTTTAACAATTTTCGTCATACGTTGTAGTGGCATCAATTTTTTTTTGTTCTTCATGTCTTTCCATTACACCTTGTATATTATATTAGACTTAAAATAACATCAGGAATCAGGACAATTGTCAACATTTTTGATTTTAGTCTTTTTAGTTGTTATTAATAAATAATATTGAGCAATAATTTTCATAAACAATATGTTTAATATTATATACTAATTGTAGGCATATTAGTAATGTATAGTATTAGAACTTAATAACATTCTAGGTACTTATTTCTAACTTACAATTTATATTTTATATTATTATTAATAATTATATTATTCAGGACTTGAAACCGATATTAGATACCGATTTTGAAACCGGTTTAAGCCGTTAGAAGCCGAAACTGAAACCAAAATCGAAAAAAGTCAATACCTGTAATCAAAATCGAAATCGAAAAATATAAAAACCAGTATTCAAAACCAAAAACGAAATCAGAAAAAATAAATACCGATATCCAAAACCGAAATCAAAATCGGAAAAAATAAATACCTATAACCGAAACCAAAAACGAAATCGAAAAAAATATTTACGGTTTCAAGCCCTGTGTGGCAGTATGAGCTATATGAATATATTATACTTAGGTAGTGCCTAGAATTATTAATTTTCCAACCAGAAAAACAATTTGTTAGTCTAGGATATTTTATAGTACCTATATTTATATTGTTAATACGGTAGCCGGTTAGGTTTAATTATTATTATTTGTTTATCATCATATTTAGAAAATTAATTTTATATCTTAATACATTTTACAACTAATATTTTTAATTTGAAACTGAAAATGATTTTGTTGAAAACCAATTTTCTTAAAAATGACGGTCTTTTCTTAATTTTTTTTGGTCTTTCCTCTTGTTTTTTTAAATTATTAGACATTTTATGTTTACCTCCTAAACTCAAAAACTAAATTCACTTTCCCATAGAACAAGATACTGAAGTTGAAAACTGAAGCTTTTTTACTTCCCCAAATGCCGATGACAGATAAAGAAACCTTTCATCATTGTAAAATCAATACATTCATTACTAAACAATATTATATAATTAATAGTATAATTGACAACAATTGACACAACTGACATTTTTAAACAAATAAATTGGATTATTTTTCTGATATTTTAATTTTATGATCAGTTATGTTCAAAATAAAAAATAATAATTCAATACTTTAATTTAATTTTTTTATATATTTAATAATTGTTCTAATTTCTTTGACGTTTCCGTGGCTTTTTTTCTTGGATTTTATTTTAAGTGGACTTTTTACTACATTCGTATATGATATAGGTACATGCGTTATACGTTATTTATTATTTTCACATTAAATTACGTCATGCTTATTATATTTTTACCGGTGAAAATTGTATGGCCGAGATTACAACAAAAGAGATAATCACATCCAATCAGCTTTTGTTAATAATTTAACAATTTTATAACTAGCAATTGAATTTGAATAAATATACAAAGAATAATCTTGATACAATTATACACAAAAATCATAAAATATATTTGGTACGCCTAGTTAATTTATAATTTATAATTTACATTATTCTTTTTTTTTTACACAAATAAATAAGCATTCTACATGATAAAACATAAGGCACAAGGCTACTAAAAATAAACTATAACGTAACTCATTGAGTACAATTTTTATCAGAAGCAGATACACCTTTAGCTCGATCCTAATAATATCATTCGTTTAAAAATATTTATGTAATCTTCATGTTATAATTTTTCAAACTTATGAACCATGAAGTACTTTTTTATAATTTTCGCTGAATTTATGATTCTAGTCAATACTGGAGCAAAAGACTTCAAGTTTCACCCAATCTTACCCCTAGTAAGTAGCCGCCCGCCCTTGATTAATGAATAAAATATATTTACAATTAGTATTATATCAAATCAATCTAGACATTCGTATAAACAAATATTTCGTCAAACATTTATAGTTAGATGTTCATATTAATTGTTATTATTATCGGGAGTGTTCGGGATAAGCATAATAGCTTTAGTTCTTGATGAGAAGTATTTTGACAAAATGTCCAGAAATTTTTTGAGAATATAAATTGGTAGATAGAAGATACCTACTACTGTTAATTTAAATTCTATCTTTATCAAATAAATATTATTGAATATAATCAAAAGTATCTTTTCTGATAGGAAAATGATTTTAGTTGGTATTTTTTTTTTTTTTGGGGGGGGGGGGGGTTAAAGGTAAAATTTTTCTAGTGATTTTTAAGAGTACCGAGAAAAAACAAACTAATAATTAAGGAAAAACGGGAATTTTTACTCAAAATCGATTTTGTATTTGGTGTAACTCTAAAACAAATGACCGTAGATACATGAACTTTTGACTGAATGTTTATATTAGCATTTTCTATACACGATAAATCTTTTAAAAAATATTGATTTGTTTTGAACTGTTAACGGACATTTTCAGTTTACAATTTTTTTTAGATTTTCTATATATATATAAAAAATATTTTATTTGTTTAGTAAAAAAGCTTAAAAAATGTAATAGAAGTCTAATAATATGCTTCGTAAAATATACATATTTATGTTATATTAGAAATAGTCAATGACTGTGTAAATAAACAAAGAGTACATTTTTGAAAAGTGTATATTGTAAGGTAGTTTCCTACTTGATTTTTCTGTAAATATTATAGTTATTGTCATGTAAGAATTAAAATTTTTAAACAATCAACTATTAAAAATTAATCATTGCAAACATAGATAGACCACAACCTTTTAGTTATTATTAAATATTTTCAATTTTGTTCTGAACAATTTTATAAATACTTAACGTATAGGTTATTTTTAGTTTCAGGATAATCATATGTATGTGCATTTTATTTAACAATAGCTGATCCCGTGCACTTATTTGCAAAATTAAAAATTGCAACTCTATATGAATAATATGTTTTACATACTACCATACCTACCATTTATATACAACAAATCTAATTGGAAGTCTCAAAATAATATATAAATGGTTATCATGGTAATATGGACATACAGACACACAGGCAAACATGCATTCATTTTTATATATATAGATTTATTGAAAGACAGTCGATAACTAAATCAAGTCGTACGGAATATATTTTAAAATATATTTTGGATACAATTCGTCTATAATTTATTTATTTTATCATCTAAAATCATTTCGAGCATCTGATGTTAATATAGCTTTATAAAAATCAAAATATCTAACAGGAATTGTTATAAACTTTTAATCATAGGACCATCGTATTTGATATTATATTATTATAAGATACATTTTTTAATCAAATCTACTAAGAAAATATTTGATAAAATACAATTGAATAGAAATAATAGCCATAAAGTTGTGATTTCAGGGTGAATACCGAGTAAAATATATCATCTCTGTTCAACAATAGGACGTAATCCGAGTTCCAATTTGCAGTTCAATTTTTTTTTTCTCAAGACATCTAGAACTACGACTGAATTAAGAGGAAATATATTAATTTTGAACAAGGAATTTTATGATTCACTTTTGGTCAGGTACTCAGGTTGTCAAATAAAAATTGACATACATACAATTACTATGTAGCATATTATTATTTAAATTGATTTATAAAAAAATATTTGATGGTGGGTAAGTGGGTAACGTTATCTGTTGTAGTAGGTGTAGACTCTATTAGATAGACTCATTAGATGTATTAAATTTGAATTTAATTATAA